TAAATATTTGTTCTGACCAATCTGCTATTACTAGTAAAATATTTTGATTTAAATAATTATATAATAATAGTATTTTTGTTATCATTAAAAGTGCAGTAATATAATTTGTTGTTGATTTTAAATTATATTTTTCTATATTAATAATATAAACATTTTCTATTGATCTTTTTGTTTTTTTTTCAATAATTGTATCATCAAATATATGAATTGTAAAAAGTTCTATATGATCAAATTGTTAAAATTTTTGTATAACTTGATTAGACCATTAAAATTTTTAAGTATTATAGCTTATATCAAAAATTTTATTATATTTTTTAAGCAAATATTGATTAATTAAACTAACATCAATATTAAGAGAATTAAAAAAAAATTTCTATTATATGCTGCTGAAATTGAACTATAATTATTAATTCTTTTTGTAACATATGTTGGCATATAATGTACTTCTGATAATGATATTGTATTTGGTCTTTAATATAAATGAATTGAATAATAATCATCAATATTAAAAATATGTATATAATTTTGCTAAATAATTATATTATATTAATATTATTATAATATTTTTAAATTTAAAATATAATAATTTATTAAAAATACTTACATTATTTAAAAAATAATTAAAAATGTTTGAAGGATGTTTTTTTGTTATTTTTATTTTATAATTATCAATTGTTTTATAGCATGCTGAAATCTTAAGATTTGATAATGTATCTATAGCAAAAGAACTACATCCAGATGCTAATAAATAAAGTCCTATTTCTATTTTTAATTCATTTGCAAATTTATTTCAAGCTCTAGCAAGAAGATAACAAAATCCAATAGCTAATTTTTTATTATTTCTCTAGTTTAAAATTTTCTATATTTTGGACTTATAGTATTAAAAATTTTATCAAAAAATTCAGCAAATTGAAAATTAGAATTTTAATTAATGTTAAAAATTTTTTAGGATCTAATTCTATAGAATGCTTTAATTTTCTTTGTTTTTTAAAAAGAACTTATGAAAATAAATCAATTTTATGTTCAAATGTTAAATCTAAAATATTATTATTAAATATTAGTATTATAAATATAAAAATAAATAAATAAATCAAATATAATAAAATATAATAAATTTAAATTTACTTAATTTTGTTTAAAGTAATTCTAATTCATTAGTTCTATTAATTAATTTAATAAAATTATTTTTACTTAAAGTAATATGATTATTAGAAATATCAATTATAATATTTTTTCATTTATTATTAATAGTTTCAAAAACTGAAAAAACTTTACAAATTTTCTTGTTAGTAATAAAATCTACTAATTTTTTTTTGTTTTCTCTATCTGGTTTTGCAATTTTTAAATAGTGAAAATCATATAATTGATCATTTAATACTAAATAATTATAATTATTAAATGTATTTTTTTCTTTTGATTTTTTAATTGCTTTTGCTATAAATTTATAATAACAATTTGCATTATTATTACAATCTTTAATTTTGCAAGGACCTTTGTTTTATTCTAATCATCTTTTAAAAAAATTTATAAATTTAAAAAAAATTTAATTCTCAAAAAAAAAATTATTTAATAAAAATTTTATTATTTATATATTTACTAATATTTATATTAATTTATTAATATCTTTATGTATTTATTTATAATTTATACAATACACCTATTTGTTTATTTATTTATATACCTATTTATATATATACTTATCTGTTTATACAACTATGTATATATACACCAATTCATTTTTATATACCTATTCATTATTTATGTTTCTATTCATTTTCACATACCTATTCATTGTTAATATATTTATTTATTGTTCATGTGCCTATTTATTGTTTACATACCATTCATTATTTATATACCCATACATTATTCATATACCTATTCATTGTTTATATATATATTCTTTGTTCACATACCTATTCATTGTTTATGCATTCTTGAGTTCACATATTCTTGAGTTGTTTATGCATCTATTCATTGTTCACATATTCATTATTCACATATCTATTTGTTGTTCACACATCTATTTGTTGTTCACACATCTATTCATTGTTCATACACCTATTTGTTGTTTACACATCTATTTGTTGTTCACATATCTATTTATTATTTATGCATCTTTGAGTTCATATACCTATTCATTGTTTATGCATCTTTGAGTTGTTCACAAATAAAATGCTTCAGAAATACAAGTTTTTTAAAACATAAAATTAAAAAATTTTAACATTAAAAGGAATTATTGGCTAGAACTAGTCAATAAGAGATCTGTTACAAGTATTAGATCTGAAACTAATCTGAGGTATGATCAACAGATGATCAATGTTTTATCTAGAGTATATTTATAACCAATCAAAACAAACTTCTGCTATGCTTTGAGATCCAAAAAAAGAATGTAATCTATTATTTGTTTACTTTGTTATATATGTGTTTTTGTACAATCTAATTTGATCTGTTGTACAGGAACTCTAACAATTTTCCAAATTTCTAAAAAGTTTTAAAGAAAGAACTAAGTTATTCTTTTGTGCTTTGTATTTTAACTAAGAAAAGAAAGAGCTTTTATTAAACTTTATGTTGTTTTTTGTTTACTTTCTTTTCTTTTAAGGTGTCAGAATAGATTTTCTAAGTTGAATCTTGCTTGCTGCTACTATTTTTGTCTTGTCTGTTTTTGGAAAAAAAGATCAGTAAGAAGAATGTAAATATCCAAAACTTTAATAATTAAATAATTTATTTAAAAATAATATGATTATATATATTTTTTTATTTTACATTTTTACATTTTTACTTAGAAAGTTAAAATAGATTATCTTAATAAAATTTTGAGTAATTTTAATATTTAAAAATGTCCAAAATGTCCAAACTTTGTCCAAAGACTGTCCCGTAACAACACTGCCTATATGTATAAATTGGATGCCTTTTACTGTCCCGTACTATAGCATAGAAATATGTATAAAAAATTCAAATAGTAAATTGTTATATTATATATACTATACATAGTTTTTGATTTATGTAGTATATCGAATATCCCAATATCACAAGGTCATGAATAGAATTTTACCACATAAATTTGCTATTCGTTCCATTTAGTTATTCAGTCAATTATCGTCTCATATTGATTAAAAGATCCATTTTATAATACCCCACCACCTTCCATAAGTATGCATTTGAAATTTTTTTTGACCGCAATAAGAATCCTCAGCTGTATAATATATTCGGATAGTTATTAAATTTTTTTGCTAGGTGTTTAATCAGTGTGATAAGGTGATATTGCTAGTAATCAGATTTACTATATTCTTGTGATTAAGCATCCTTTTTAATTTGTATCCGAAATTATCGAATGCTAATCAATGAAAGAATACAGTTATACAAATGCGCAAGATGGCAATTATAGTTAAACTGATGAGAAATACAGAATTATGTATTATTTGTATTATATATCTCATTATGGTATATGTGTTATATAATGGTTAACGTCAACGCACAACGATGATTACTTCCTCCATGATACATTAAATCATCTTAGAATTATGGTCGATGAGTTTGGTTCTAAAGGAGATAAGCATTATGAAAAATGTGCAAATTACAACCTATATAACACATCTTTCTCCTGGTGTCAAACATATGACCCAATGATTATATCAACTACCAAATACGAAGTAATTGAATGGATTCCTTTTAATAGATTAATTAATATTCAAAAATATTGGTAATAGAGTTTTAGCAACTTGGTTAGACAAAATACATACAAATTATGATGACACCAAATAAAGTGGAGCTTACAAGTTCACAAGGTTTATTAGATAACAAATTAAGATATTTCACAAAATGCGTGTATTTGTCGTACGTCGGAATGGAATTATTGTAGATTTAGAATGCACCTTGGTTGATTCCAAATAAACATAAGTTATAATAAAATTCTAAAATGTGAATACAAAAATCAAAAGTCTTCCTGTGTTATAAAGGTTTTGAGTCGGCTACTAATCGATTTACAACTAAGATATTCGGAAAGCAATTCTTTGAATCCATTAAGAGGTAAAAATGGATGATCTTGAGATTCGGTTATCGGATAAAAAGGACGAAAGAAAAAAAAAGTAATAAATTTGTATTTTATTTTGACAATTTATCATGACAATATGATGTAATTTATTTAACAATTGTTACAATCGATTATACATTTATTGTAGTATAGAATCAACTTTAAATTTCGTATCAACTTGACCTTTGGAATTCCGTTTCGACCTAAGATGATTCTAAATACCAATAATTCCGTTTCATATACACATATCTGCATTTAATTTATATTTAATTTATATTTAATACAGTAATTAATAAATTTATAGATTATATGCAGTTAAAGAATAATGAGCTTAAAGTATATAGACTAATGCAACAAATGAAAATATGGTAGTATTTGATGATTTGGTTCTAAAAGAAATTTAAACTATGCTATGGAATATGTGCAATTGCAATCGATATAACACATCTGAAGCTTGATTCCAGGCATGTGACCCTCATAATACAAGAATGGACAAGTGGCAATAAGGACATCGACATTCTACGAAGATGTAATTGAATGGATTCCTTTCAAAAATTGATAAAGGGGGATCTGTGTTATCAGCGATATGGCTAGATGGTAAAATAATAGCACGTACACCATCTTGTGTAGTTGCACTTTAAACTTTACCTGGTTCACAAAAATTTAAGTTAAATAATTTATTTATAATAATATATATAAAATAGATAAATTATTGTTGCGGCTTATGCTGAAATTTGGGTGAACCTATAATATCTACTAAAACTCACATACTTTTTTGTTAATAATACTACCTTGAACCATAAAGCAAGAATCTTTGTTCAAATTTAATATTTGATTTGAAACTCAAATTTTGATATGAATTTGATTATGCGGAGCACTATTTATGACAAATTAACTGTGAATCATTATCACTTAATGTTAGAACTTGTTTATAAATCATTTCCGTTTAACCGATAAATGCCAAAAATCAAATTGGATCGTAAATTTCACTATTATCAGATGGGGGATTAATTCCGTCATGTATCTTATAATAAACCACAGTAGAGTCTGGAAAAGTAATGGCTAGTGTGATACTACACAAGTATAAAAATTTTTTTTTTTTAATAAAATAAATCGAAAAATTTGGATATATAAAAATAATAACCTTTTTATATTGTTCGGATCACAATCTACAAAAAGAGATGGAAATTTTCGTAACTGGGAAAATAGTTGTGTTATCCTATTTTTTAAAATGGCAGTAAATAATTCGATTATTATTTTATATTAATATGATTACTTCTTAAAACAATTATTGCAGTTGCAATTATCGAAAGTTTTACTTTTTAGGTGTCCAAATTTCAGCTGATGCACAGGGTACTATGATTATCATCTGAGAATTCGACTGTATTTTAAATTTGTTACTCTATTAAGTTTTGTCAATTATTTTTAAAATTTTATACAATCCATTTATTCTTACTTTTGAAGTTCTCCCCAGCAAAACGCATCTTTGTAAAGGTTCAATATCTTCAACTTTTACTTCAGTCCAAGATTTGACTTTATAAATTTGATTTAATTAACTGCAATGAAACAGATGAAATTTTATTGTTAATTTAATAATATTATTACCTGCGGTTAAGTCAAGATATACTTGTGAAAGATTGGATGCTTCCTGCGGGTATTTGTCGCAATATGTTGAAATTTGTTCAATCATCATAAGCGTAAAATTCCTGTGATTGGCTGTATTAAATCAAAGATCATCAAATCTGCGCCACTTAACTGTTAAATAATTTAACGCTAATGGTTGAGTCATGTATAATTTCAGTGCAATGATTGAATTCAACCAACCAAACAGCACCTTGTTCAACATTTCTCTTAATGAATAAGAGTAAATTCAGAAAACAGGATGCATTAATCTATAAATCTTATCCAGGATCATAAAAGCAATGTTTTGTTTTAGTAATTACGTTTTTCTATAACGATAATCTTCAAATCTTACATAATTTTGCAAATCACAATAATTTAATTGAAATGTTACACAAATATCTTCTATTCAAGTTGATATAAATTAATTGTTTTTTATATTCGAGTTAAATCGATTTTCATAAAGTATAATCTTTATATACTTAGATTCTTTTTAAGTTTGTAAATTTAAAGTAGTTTTTATATCTCAATAAATTTATAATAAATTCTAAATATAAAAAACTTAAAATTTAATTTTTTTTAATAGATTTTTTTCAAATCTTTAGTTAATAAAGGATTTTCTATATATAAAAATTTATTTTTGTTAATTTAGTATGTTTTTATATTATTTATTTTAAGTAAAAAACAACTTTTTTATATTTTAATAAGTCATTCTAAAATTTATTATATGAAAACAACTAGTTAATTTGTTATATATAAATATATATAATCTGACCTTTCTATTGTTATTTATCAAATATTTGAATTCAAATCAAATTCAAATATAATCAAATTTGATTTGATTTGACAAATATTTGATTTATTTAAAAATTTATAATTAAATATTTAAAATTATAAGTTATTTACTTAAAATTTTATTAAGACAATTAAGTTTTTTTGTTTTATAAAACTATATGTATTTTGTTTAAAAGAACATTTTACTTTTTTTTATATTAAAGTTTGTGTTTTTAAAGAAGATTTTTTTTATTCAAATTATAGAACACAAATGCTTTTGAAGACTTTCTTATATAGAAGGTTACAGCTAGTCACATATACACTTTTGGTACCTAATTTAAGTAGTTTGCTTATATATTACTATATAAGTTTTACACTAGATATTATATCTGCAAATTAACTATAAATCTTGTTTATTTAAATCTTCTATATATAAAATTTATTTTGTATTATGAGAACACAGTTTCTGATTCTTATTATCTTAAAACTACTTTATTCTTAACAGAAGATTTACTAAAGTCTGTTATATTCTATATATAGTTAATCTAGTTTTATATAATATATTATAGTTACTTAATACTTATAGTCACAGAAGTTATCTGTTTAACTATTATATTATATTATTTTTATATTTGTAAAGTTTATTAGGATTTTGATATCTATTTTTTTAATATCTTTTTCATTATTCTCTACTAACTGTTACTTAAAACTAACAGACTTTAATTAAACTACTAATTCAAATAATTTGATATAATATATTTTTGTATTCTTTTTTTTTAGTAAATCTAATAGCCTAGTTAATTATATATTTCTTTATATATATTTTATTTATTTAATTTTTTTTTTAAGGTGACCTCTTTAGTCTTTTGACTTTTATTAATCACTTATTAGTATTGTAGTTCAATGAACCACTACAGGAGAGTGTACAATTGGCTACATGTATAACTTTTCTATATTACTTATTTAAGGAGTCTG